GGCCCAGGCCGCCACCAGCCTTCCTGGCGATCCCGGCGGCGAGAAGTCGAAGGTGCCCACGCCTTCGAGGTAGGTGAGGCCCACGCAGCGTGGGGCGACGATCCCCACCCCAGCCACTCTGCCGCCCCCTGGCCCCACCGCTGCGGGTGCGAGGGCGACGGTGAGGTGCCTCTGGAAACAGCTGGCACTAATCTCGCCGACGTAGTCGCTGGTGAGGCGGTGCTCCTGCACCAGCATGATGGTGTTTCTGCCCAGCGGCATCTCGTCCAAGTGGTCGACGAGGGTGCCCCAGGCGCTGCCGTTGAGGCCTCTGAGCACCATGCCAGGCTTGGCGTGGCGCCCCTTGCCTCGAGATCTGGGCCTCCAGTGTCCCTCTCCCCAGCTGGGCTGCTTCGGCCACCCCCCCCCCCCGTCGGGGGAGCCGAGCTGGGGGCGCTCGTGCAGAGAGGCGTCGACCACCCGCACGCCTGCGGCTCTCGGTTCCACGAGCACATCGCTGGTGGCATCGACCACCCGCCTGTCGGCGGCACCAGCGGGAGGGGCGCATGGGGAGAGGCTTCGGCCACCCGCGCATCCGCGGCTCTCCACTCATGCGCCACTGGGGCCTCTTCCGAGGCGTTAGTGGCCGTGTTCGAGGCTGAGCTGAGGTCCATGTCGGGCTTTGCCTTGCGCCCCTTGCCTCGCTGTCGGGATTCCCAGTATTCCTCTCCCCAGCTGAGCTGCGTCGGCCACCCCCCCGTCGGGGGAGCCGAGCTGGGGGCGCTCGTGTCGAGAGGCTTCGACCACCCGCACGTCTGCGGCCCTCCGTCCCACGAGCTCATCGCTGAAGGCTTCGACCACCCGCCTGTCGGCGGCATCAGCGAGAGGGGCGCATGGGGAGAGGCATCGACCACCCGCGCATCCGCGGCTCTCCTCTCATGCGTCACTGGGCCCTCCTCCGAGGCATCAGTGGCCGTAGTCGAGGCTGAGCTGACACCCATGCCAGGCTTGGCGCGCCACCCTCTGCCCCGTGACCGAGGCCTCCAGTAATCCTCTCCCCAGCTGGGCTGCATCGGCCACCCCCTCGTCAGGGGAGCCGAGCTGGGGGCGCTCGTGCAGAGAGGCGTCGACCACCCGCACGTCTGCGGCTCTCCGTCCCACGAGCTCATCGCTGAAGGCTTCGACCACCCGCCTGTCGGCGGCATCAGCGAGAGGGGCGCATGGGGAGAGGCTTCGGCCACCCGCACATCTGCGGCTCTCCACACCTGCGCCTCTGGGGCCTCTTCCGTGGCGTCCGTGGCTGTGCTCGAGGCTGAGCTGCCGCCCAGCCGTCGGAGCCACGGCGCGAGCTGCTGGCGGCGGAGCGTGTCCGCGCCCCTGAGCGCCCTCCGTGCCCAGGTACTCGAGGAGGAGCTGTCGCCGTCCCCGTCCAGGATGTCGAGGCCCTCCTCTATGGCTGGGACGTGGACGCACGTCCCCACGATGAAGGCGACCCGCTTTGGCCCAGGCTGCCAGCGCCTGCCCGCCCTTCGGGACAGCTCCTTCTGGTCGGGCGGAGGAGGCGCCCCCCTTGTAGTGGTAGTGCTCGTAGAGGTGGTGGGGGTCTCCACGACCCCGTCGATGTCGCGTGGAACGGCTGGCGCTCCTCGCCCTCGCGCGGCAGCCTTGCCCCGACCGCGGCGTGGGCGCTGGCGCCACCGTCGCCAGCCTTGCGGGGCTGGCCCCTCAGTCGCTGGAGTCTGTGTCCGCCCCTGGGGGTTTGACGGCAGCCCGCTCCAGGATCCTGGCTCGGACGTCCTGTGCCAGCTCGCGCTTGGGAGTCCTGCCCGTGGCCCCCGCAGGAGCAGTGGAGCCTGCCGCGCCGCCTCCGCTGGCTGCAGCAGCGCCGCGAGCACCGTCAGCGCCAGCAGGGGGAGGGGTTTTTGGCCCCGCTGTGGGGACTGCCTTGGCCGCGGCCGCCCCTGGCTGCTTGTGGTCTGCGCCACCTTTGCCTGCCGCCTTGCCTGCTGGCGCCGCTGCGGCGGGAGCTGCGGCGGCCTCTGGCGGGGGGGGCTCCGACCGAGCCCTCTTGCTCTTGAGCCTGTCGCTGAAGGCCTGGAGGTCCGCTCGCATCGCGGCGAGCCCCTCCGCCGTTGGGCCGAAGTGCCTCTTGACCTCCGTCTGGACCTGCTTGACGAATTGGCCCATCTGCTCCTCGAACTGGCGGTGCTCCTCAGGCGGGATGTCGAGCCCCTCGAGGTCGAAGGCCTTGCCCGGCCGCACGCTGAGGATGTCCAGGTCGCCCTCGAGCAGCTGCGAGAGGTCCAGGGCTGGCGTGGGCTCCTCCACAGGCGCGACGGCCTTGGGCGCCGCTCTAGCGTAGGCCTCCTGGACCACCGCCTCCGCGTCGGCGACCTCGTGGATCCAGTTCTCCCGCAGTTCCTTCTGGTCCTGCAGCCACCGCTCGCCCTCGGAGATGCTGTCGATGGTCCTCTTGAGCCCTGCCTCGGCCCTGCGGAGCCGCGCCTGGGCCTGGTTGAGGGCGACGTCTGGGTGCACCTCTGTAGTGTGCACTCGGGCGAGCGCCTCGAGGCGCTGGGCGGCCTCTGCGTCGCCGTCGGAGATGGTGGCCCGCAGCTGCTTGAGTAGCTCCTCGCGGTTCTGCTTGACCGATGGGCGACTGCGGCACCGCGAAGAGGCACCGCTGGGGCCCCAGGTGCCCTGCGAGGCTCGCTCTTGTGAGGTGGCTGGCTGCAGTCCCCTCTGGCACTTGTATCACTCAGACCTGGTGACCCAGTTCCACTTATACCCACATCCCCTGCACTTCTCGTACTGGCTTCCAGTCCGCTGATCATCCTTCTCATTGCGCCCCATGCGCGGCCGTGAAGAACTGATCTCCTGCCTAACCAGTACGGTACAGGAGCTCCTCGGAACGTGTACAAAATGTGAGGGCGCCTGCCTTGCCCAGCAGACCCCTGATGCGCGGGCCGAGCCTGCTGGGCAGGCCCCTGGCCTCTGCAAACCACCTCGAGAAATGGTTTACTTGAGCCAAAAGGCTTGAGCCAAAATGGCTACGGGAGGAGGAGGAGGAGAAGGAGGAGGAGGAGGAAGAGTAGGAGGTGGAGGAGGAGGCGGGGGATTGGGCCACGGATGGGCGAAGCACAAGGAGAAGGCGGAGGAGGAGAAGGAGGAGGAGGAGGTGGAGAAGGAGGGAACGGGGAGGAAGAGGAGGAGGAGGAGAAGGAGGAGGAGGAGGAGGAGGAGGAGAGGAGAGGAGGAGGAGGAGGAGGAGGAGAGGAGGAGGAGGAGGAGGAGGAGGAGGAGATGGAGGAGGAGGAGAGGAGGAGGAGGAGGAGGAGGGGGAGGGCCACGGATGGAAGTACAAGGAGAGGAGGGAGGAGGAGGAGGAGGAAGGAGGAGGAGGAGAGGAGGAGGAGGGAGGAGGAGGAGGAGGAGGAGGAGGAGGAGGAAGGAGGGGGAGGAGGAGGAGGAGGAGGAGGAGGGAGGAGGAGGAGGAGGAGGAGGAGGGAGGAGGAGGAGGAGGAGGAGGAGGAGGAGGAGGAGGTGGAGGAGGAGGAGGGGGATTGGGCCATGGATGGGCGAAGTACAAGGAGAAGGAGGAGGAGGAGGAGGAGGAGGAGGAGGAGGATGCCTCCCGCCGCCGCTGCCGAGGCCAGAGGACGCCTTTTATCGGGGCGCTGAACGCCCGAGCAAGCTTCAGCGAAGGTGCACCGGCACAGATGATTGGGCAGCGGGCGGAGGCGAGCCAGACGGCCAGCTGCACGACACTGAGACGAGGGTACAAAATGACGCGCGAGGGAGGGAGGGTTGGGAGCGCAAACAATGAGACCTCAAATGGCCATGGAATGGCAAAGGAGTGTGCACTGATCCATGGCCCTGAAATGCGGCCTCTCATGCTGTGGCGTCTGGCAATCAACAACGAAGTAGTGAGCATGCCTCCCGCCGCCGCTGCCGAGGCCAGAGGACGCCTTTTATCGGGGCGCTGAACGCCCGAGCAAGCTTCAGCGAAGGTGCACCGGCACAGATGATTGGGCAGCGGGCGGAGGCGAGCCAGACGGCCAGCTGCGCGACACTGAGACGAGGGTACAAAATGACGCAAACCTGCCAAACAATCCTTGGTCATCTCGATAAACTACTGAACCATTCACCGTTAAACAAAAAGACTGGACATTGTTATTGTCTTACAGCTGCCATGAGCGTGATCGAAACAGCGAGCGAGGGCCTCGCACAAAGCGGGAGGATACTGCTGAGCGGCTTTCGTTTTAAAGCCGCCTCCTTTGGCGAGGCCATGAATTGATGTGTGCTTTCTTCTGCTGCGAGAGCAAAGCTTGCCGTGGCACTCACGAGCCACGGGCTGCAGAGAGACGCGATCCCCTAAAATTCGGGCTGGCTTCTTCCATGGCGCCCCCCATTGGCACATGTCTGTATGCACGAGCTGGCTAGTACTCCAGGCAGCAGCTTTTTTGAGACGAGGCAGCAGCCAAAGACGTGACCGCGCAGGGTTCTCCAGCGCCACTGGGCGCTGGAGCCAGTGCATCAACTCAAAAATACTGCAACTGAAACGGGCGAGATTATTACCAATTCGAATGGCCTGCGCATCGACAGGATGGGTGACCGCAGGAAGCCCCATCAGATGCTGGTCGGATCGGAGCCGCGATGGGAGCACTGGTCCAGCTTGACCCCGCTCCCGCAGCGGCCCTGTGTCCCTGGCCCTTGTCCACGTCTGGCAAGGCGTACCCATGAAGACTCCCCAGACCTGCCCGGCCAGGATCCAGCCTCTCACGAGCTTCTGGGCCTTCCGTGCTGACAGGTCCCACGCGGGCCCACGGCAGATGTCCCACTCGAGCACGACGAAGCCCCTCTCGCGAAGCGACCGCGAGAGCCCGCCATGCCCGCTGAACAACTCTAGAAAGACCTGCGGCTGGACCAGGCGGGCACCTCGGCAGGCCAAGGCGCGAGCGAAAGCCTCGCGAGGCAGATCGGCAGCCGCGCCGCTGCCTCGACTGCCCTCGCGCGGACGCCTAGGGGCCGCCGCTGCAGCTGCTCGCCCGCGTGCCCCTCCTTCTTGTCGAACTGCCCTGTCCTGCCGCTGATCTCCTCCTCGCTCGGGTGCAGCACGATCGCCCGGTTCGCCGCGTGGGCCCCCGGCACGGGCGGCACGAGCATCTCGGCGATAAACCGCTGCAGCTCGCTGGGGCGGAAGCAGCAGTGGACGGTGGCGACCGTCCAGGCCGCCATCGCCCAGAAGCCGGTCAGCAGCATCTCCAGCGCGATCAGCGCGACGACCTCCCAGGGCAGCGGCAGCCGCGCCCGCCCAGAGGCGAGCCGCTTCCAGCCCTTCACGGCCTGCGCCGGGCGCGGAAGGGAGAGCCCTCCCGACCTTGCGAACTGCGTCCGGAAGTAGCTCACCGCCGCGAGCTCCTTTGTGCCCCCCTGCGCCAGCTCCCCGAACGAGATCTCCTGGTCCATCCAGCTCGCGACCACGAAGTCTGTCTCGTCGTCGCTTGGCGCCGACTGCAGGGAGCACACAGCACGCCACCGCAGCCACTCGCGGAAGATGTCCTGCCACAGACCGTCGTACTGGCCCACGGTCTTCGGCGCCACCGACGCCCGCTGCAGCAGCGACCCAGGGCCTCCGAGCGCTGCCCGACGAGCAGCCGCAGCCGCTCCCTGCTCGCGCCTCGCAGCTCGCGCCATCCTGCGGCTCCGGGCCGCGGGCGGGGGCAGCGTCCGCAGCACCTGGCGCGACTGGGCCGCGACTGCCCTCAGGTGCCGCCCCCTCCGCGGCTGGGGCCGCCCCGCCAGCGGACCGCCTCGCCGCTGGGCGTGCGGGCCGGCGGGCGCCCCGAAGCACGCCGACGGCAGGCTCGCGGACGGCCAGCTCGGCGAGCTCGAGGCCGGCGCTGCGGCAATCCGCCTGCTGGCTGCTGCGCCCGGCGTCCCGGACGGCCCGCTGCTCGATGCCCTCGGCAGAGTCCGCCGCGCCGTTGTCGATCCAAACCCCGAGGGGGATGTGGCGGCGTGACGGAGCATCGGCGACGTTCCGCTCAGACGGAATCCAGCGCACCGAGGCCTGCACCGCACCCGCCAGGCACCAGGCACCCCATTGCCGGGCGACGCGGAGGACTCCCCCGGCTGAGGAGCGGCCCTTCTCCATAGCACACACGAGCCCCATGTTATCGCAAAGGAAGAGGATACGCTTACCGAAAGACTTCGAGTCGCGAAGTGCGTGCCTCAGAGAGTGAACGAATGCCCGACCTTCACAAACGATGATCTTCTCGGACCGGGCCCACCCTCCGCTCGAAACGACCTGCCACCTTCCCCCGTGCAGTTTCTCCTCCACCTCCGGGACGTTCCACAAGTTACCCTCAGGATCCTCCACCGCCTCCTCCGGCGACACGACGTGCTCCACATTCGGCGACACGACGGAATCGGCGATCGGCTCGACCTTCGCGGTGTCGGCGGACGGCGGGTCGCTCTGCTCGAAGAGGCAGTCTCGAGGCCTAGAAGCAGTTCCTCGTCGGAATCGCCACCTCTCCCCGTATCTCCCAGCACCACGAATGGCTCCCAGGTCGGCCTCCTTCTGGCACACGCCCCTCCCCTCCTCGCTAGCGTCGCTCGCGTAGACCCTGGGAGACCAGGTAGCCCGGAGATCAGCCCAGGCGAGGGGGATCAGGGAGGCGGCCCAACGAAGCTCACGGCGGACTGACGGCGGCAGCTTCATCACACGATCGAAGTACTTCCTCGAGAAAGCATACACAGAACTAAATACGGCCAAGAGCGGGCGCCTCGACATAGCAATGAAAGCGAAGTGCCCAGCAATCTCCCCTACTTGTCGTCCCGAAGCGTGCCCACGAGCAAGCAAACCCTGGATCCCAAGACGAAGCCTCCATGCACGACGGCTCTTGGGCCTCACAGCTCCACGCTCACCATCGAATACCCAACCCAGCTGCTCAGACACAGAGGCGGGAAGATCAGGATCGCGAAGAGGGAGCCCCGCGCTGCTCAAGGCCTCTTGGGCCGACCTCAGGAGGGCCGCGGGCCTATCAGGATCCACACCAAAAGAAATGAAATTGTCAACATAAGCAGTGTAGGCCCCGTCCTGGATGTGAGGTGCTGGCATACCGTCGACCAATTCAGGAACGCTATCGAAACCTCCCTTCTGGAGTAAGATATTTCTGTGCACTTTCTGGCAAAAATCCAGCGCGTGCGTCCAGCCCATGGGCAGGACGGCCAAGCACGGGCGTACCCAAGCGCGGCCCGGAACTGGGCGCCCGCCCAGCTCACGTACCCCGAGCTGTGCTGCCCGAAACCGAGGGAGCGCAAAGAGGTGCCGGAGCTCCGGCGGCAGGCCCATGTTGTAGAAGGCGTCCGCGATATCGACCCCTGCCGTCCACAGCACCTCGCCCGGCGCAAGCTCGATGGAGCTGAAGCTGCCCCCCGAGGCCAGGCTGGTCTTGTCGGGCTCCGCGAACCTGAAGTTGCTGCCCCGGCAATCGATCACCAGGCGTTGGCGACCATCCTTCTTCCAAACGGTGAACAGTCCGACTTCCTCAAAATCGCCCTCATCGACCCTGAACTCCAGCATGCCACCGTCCCTCATCCTCTCGACGAAGGCAAGGTAGGCCGCGGGCTATCGCAGCACTGGATCCAGGTAAGGGCGTGCGAAGCCAGCCTCCTTCTTAAAAATCTCGGCGCTTTGAATTGGCAAAACCTTCGAAGTAATGAACCCTCGCACTATGTCTGGACCGTCGGCTCCCAACAGCTGGCTCAGGGGCACAGGCGCACCGCCCACAGCTGGAAGAGACACGAGGTCGCGCGCGAAGGGGGCCACCGTGACGGGCTCGCCGTCGGAGTAGCCAGCGCCGACCTGGAGCTCCTGAAGGGCCACCTCGGTCGACAAGTCTGGAGGAATGGAGCCCATCGCCGCGCAGCTGTCGGCGAGATGCTCCAAGCAAAGCTGCTGCATCCTGTTGGGCCCCTGGCCCGCACAGCGAGGCGGGTCGTCAGAGCCGGCATCCAGCTGGTTGAGCGCCACAACGAGCTCGGTCACGAGCTCCCCCTGCAGCGTCCTGTTGGCGCGGCGACGCCGCGCTGCGCGACCGCCGCTGCCGCCCGGAGCGGCCTGCGCGCGGCACCAGTCAGGGACTGGCAAGGGCAGGAACGACCGCTGCATGCGGTCGTCACTTCCGCCCACCACCTCTTCTGCATCACCCCCGGGTCGAGGCAGTCCCGGGGGCGGACCCAGCATCATGACTCAGCGGGAGGAGCGTCCCGGCCGCCCTCGCTGGCCTTCTGCTCCTCCCTCAGTTTCCTCGCGTTCTTCTTGATGCTGTGGATCAGCTCCAGCTCATTTGACACCAAGTCGAGCAACTCAGGGCACACCATCGAGGGGGACCTCGAACCTCCCTTGAATGCGAAGGCCTCCTCCAGGGGCATCTTCATGTTGTGCTGCTGCTGCTGCTCCGCACACATGTCGTCCCAGTAGTGCTCGACGAGCCGGAGCTTCCTGTAGCCGAGCACCGCCCTCGCCAAGTTGTAGACGTCCAGGTGATCGGCCGAGCCCATGGTCTCGATCATCTTGGACAGGGTCTCGTGCATGTCTACCCTGAAGTCGGTCGGGTTCAGCCTCCGCTTTGACTTCCACATCTCTTGATGGAGGGCCAGGCCCCCCTTCTTCACCTGGAACTTGGCGCACCACTGCGCCGTCCTAGGCGGGGCCACGGCAAACCGCGGGACGGCCTCCTCGCGGCACAGCTGCACCACCTCGCGCCACTCCCGAGAACTGCCGCCAGATTGCCCGGCGTCGGGCGGGATCTCGAGCGTGCACGCGTCGCTCCCGCGGCACTCCTGCGTGAACCACGCGATCTCGCTGTCCCGCAGCAGCACCGCACTGGCTCCGCCGCCGCCGGCGAGCGCGAGAAGCCCGCGGCGCCCAGCGCGTCCCACGAGGGTCGCTCCGCCCGGAACCCCGACGGCCACCTCCGCGCCGAAGGACACGGAGCCGTCGACGTCCTCCGCGGCCACCCAGTGCCAGCCTGGCGCGGGCTCCCCGCTCGGATGCGGCGCGGCCGCCACGGTGTCTGGCTCCGCCGGCGCCCGACCCGCTGGCGCCGCGGCCGCCCCGGGGGCGAGCGCCACGGCGGCTGGGACCGCGGCTGCCGGCGCCGGCGTGGCCGCGGCCACCGGTGGGGCTGGCGGGGCCGCCCCAGGGAGTGCCAGCTCACCCGGGGCCGCTGGCGCGGGGCACCTCCCGGCCACGCCGACCAGCGGGGGGACCACGATCGACGGGTCCGCCAGCGATACGCTGCCCGCCGGCGCGCCCGCACAGTTCAACGCGGACAGCGCGAGGAGGAAAGGCCCGTCGGGCAGCGGTCCATACCCCGACGCGGCCCCGCGGCGGAGGGCGCTCCAGACCACGGCCGCCGTGAGCAGGCGGCAAAACCCGTAGACTCGGTTCGCCGGGACGACCCCAGCCCTGCCGCCCTGCCCGTGCACGAAATGGATCTCCATCACATCCGCGTCTGGATTCGTGGTCTCGCCGTAGTCGTCGTAGTCCGGGGTCATCTCGTACCCCGAACGATATACGTCCAGTCGCTCATGGTACAGAGCGGGGCCTCCTACGCGATACCTGGGCAGACGGAATCCTCCAGCCAGCGGCCCAGAAGCCATCCTCAATAGGCAGCGGCAACCGGCGACCTGCGGAAGACCTTCGCCTGCTCCAGCGCGAGGTACGCGAGGTCGCCACCCCCCGGCGAGCGGTCCACCTCCACTGGCGCCGCGATGGGCCCCGCTGGCGCCCTCGAGCGAGGCCGCCCGGCCCACGAGACGGTCGCGGCCCCGAGCACGCCGCCCAGCAGGAGCGAGAGGCTCGCCACCCAGGCCAGCTGAGCCCCGTGGCACCCCGGGATGGCCGCGGCTGCCAGGGTGCCCTCGCCGCTGGGGCACGTGCACTGCAGCGGAGGGCAGTGCAAGGCCGGACTGCACCGGCAGTCCGGGCAATCGGCCACCGAGGCCCGGACGACGAAGGCGGTGGTCAGCGCCTGCCCCACGTCGTGGAGCAGCCCCACCAGCCCGGCCTCCATCACCCGGCAAGGTCTCAGCGCAAACAATGAGACCTCAAATGGCCATGGAATGGCAAAGGAGTGTGCACTGATCCATGGCCCTGAAATGCGGCCTCTCATGCTGTGGCGTCTGGCAATCAACAACGAAGTAGTGAGCAGGAGGAGGAGGAGGAGATGGAGGAGGAGGAGGTGGAGGAGGAGGAGGAGGAGGAGACGGGGAGGAGGAGGAGGAGGAGGAGGAGGAGGAGGAGGAGGAGGAGGAGGAGGAGGAGGAGGAGGAGGAGGAGGAGGAGGAGGAGGAGGAGGAGGGGGTCGAGTGGGGGTCGACACATCGCCCCCCACACGGGCCTTCGGGCCATGGCTCCAGCCTGCGGCGGCCGCCCGGGGTCCATGCGGACCACACTGGAGAACGCCCTCGGCGACGCGCCGCTGCTGGGGAGCGCCCCGCAGCTGGAAAACCTGCAAGCAGCCCGCGGCTGGAAGACCGCCGAGAGCCCACGAAGGCGCCCGAAAACCAGAAGGACAACGCCTGCATTAAAAATACAATTTCTCGGAGGTCCGCGCGGACTTCTTCGATCGGCGCCTGGCTGGGCTCCTCCTCCTCCTCCTCCTGTCGATCCTGTCGATCCTTGCGCAACCGAGTCCCTCCAGGCGAAAGAGCAGGTTGGCGGTTCCTTCTCCTCCTCCTCCTCCTCCTCGTCCTCCTGACGGCGCCTCCGGCGCCGCCAGGGGCGGCGCCGCGCGCCAGAAACAGGGGGTCCGGTGCCGATCGAAAAAATCCGCGCTGACCCCGGAGGCATGGTGTCCTTGCAGAACATGCTCTTCGACGGCAAAAACCGCCGAGAAGCGCCGAAGACGGCCGAAAAAACCTCGCGCTCTCCTTGCAATTGTTGTGCTTTCTTTGACGGCACGCCGCCGGACAAGCCACGGAAGGATGTCTGAGTGGGTTACAGTGGAGGCCAGTCCACAAGAAACCGTCCACAAGAAACCGTCCACAAGAAACCCAACCCTGAGATCCCAGGACGACTATTGATTTCTGGCGTGGGAACGTCACGTTCTCCGTCGCAGAACCATCGAAACACAAGAAACCCTAGGCAACCTGGAGGCAAGCAGGGTGCTTCTTGGCATGCGCCCCCTCTGCAGCGGGCCGCGGCGAGCGAAGGCGGGGCCGCCGCGGGGGATGTGTGCGCGCGCGCCTTCCGCGAGGGGGGGGGGGCTGCAGGCCGCGCCGGCCACGCGCGGCTCGCGGGCCGCGGCTGCAGGAGGAGGCGAAGGCGCGGACTGGCCACCTGCCAGACCACCCCAACCTGACCCGAAGGCCCTAGTTTCGGGTCGTGGGGGGTACGCGTCGTTCATTTCTAATCGTGCTCATTTCTAATTGTGCTCGTTTCTAATTGTTCTTGGCCCCTCAGTGGCCAGGAAGGGGCCCAGGACTCCAGGACAGAAGAATTAGAAATGAAAGGATCCTGGCCCCCCAAATAATCAAAGAACTCGAAGAATTAGAGCTGAACAACGTGTACGGGTTCCACATGTGTTGTCTCGATGTTCCCCGGCTGCGCCCCCCTTCTGGAAATGAGGGCCAAATGGAGGCCTTCGGATCGGGTCGAGGTGGTTTGGTGGGTGGTGACGGACGGGGACGGCGATGTCACGATGGTTCGGGGAAGCGAGAAACTCGGGTTCGAGGAACTCGGGTTGGCCCCACGGGGTCGTGGGGACAATGGCGAGACCCAATCTGAAATCTGACGCGAGCTCCCGCTGCAAGCATCCAACGAAGACTGCATCGTCAAAATTAAAGACGGACCCGTCAAAAGGCGTCAGCAAGCCTGAATTCTGGCGAACTCGAGTCTTCCGTTCCCCCGATTGGTGTGATGGTGCTGGTGACGGTGGTGCGCGCATAAAAATTATATCCGTATCAACTGCGTCTTGAAATTTCTGGGAAGGGGTGCCAAAAGGCCGAGGCGCAGTGGATATGTATAAGACTCTAGCCTCGAGGGGCCAGATTGCTATCTGTATATCCACTGCGCCACTGGTTCCTGCGAAGGGCATCCGACACTCCAAGAGGCAAAGGACATGGATGAAAAGCTTGCCCGCGTGGCGGCGGTCGCGTCGTGGCGGCACGCGGCACGGGCCGCAGCTGAGAGAGGCGATGGCGCGGACTGGGCCGGTGATGGCATGGTGGTATGGTGGCGACGGTGACGGTGACGTACGGTGTCCGTGGTGACTCACGGGAGCCTCCCATGCTGGCTCTTACGATCAGCGATGCTCGGCGCTCGCTAATCGACGCGAGTCGGCGCCGAATCGACGCTGAATCTCGGCAATGCCCCGACAACGCTACCGAACGCGAATGCACTCTAAAAACGGACTTGCGGACAAACCAAGGCTCTCATGATTTGCTAGTGCAGACGGTGGTGGGGGTCATGGTGGGGTGCTCGGCAGCGTGGGGGTTTAGCAGACCCGGGCGAAGAACAGTGCAAGCGTTCGGGCATCTTCTAAGCCCGCGGTGGCAGTTCAGGGGTCCGCGCGGAGGCACAGAACCAGAGATCCGATGTCGTTATTTTTTCTATACGCGGTCCCCCGAAGTCTCGACCCATTCCCCAGGACCGGCTTTTCATCCTGAGTCGTTGCTGGACGCTCCCGAGGCCCGGCGAGGGCCCCCTGGGGGCCTAAATTTGAGAAAAACCTCCGTCGTGATTTTTGTCACTGCGTTGGACCTCTGGGGGCTCGGCTCGCCGGGGTCTCGGCCCCCCAGGGCTCGGCTCCCCGGGGCCTGCTTCGCCGGGGCTGGCGAAGGGACCCTGGGACACACGAATCCGCCGGCCCCCTTGTGGGGCCCCCAGGCTGCAGGCCGAAGGTTCGCAGTTTCCTGTGCCAGTTGCAGCTTCCAGTTTCCACTGTTACAGTTCTGCTTCTTGCTGCTTACTGTTCCTTGTTGATGGACCGCGCGAGAGGGGGGGAGGCCCAAACGGACAGGATTAGCACGCCCTGAGCGTGTTGTCTGAGTTGCTGGGGTGGGTAACAATTAGCACCCCTCACGCAGATCGGCGGGGTCAGGGTGCTAAAAACACAAGGCATTTGCCACATGTCTGAAATTCGGTGGCACCCCTCACGCAGATCGGCGGGGTCAGGGTGCAAAAACACATGGGATTTGCCACATTTCTGAAATTTGCTGGCACCCCTCACGCAGATCGGCGGGGTCAGGGTCCAAATACATTTGGGATTTGCTACATTTTTAACATTCGGTGGCACCCCTCACGCAGATCGCAGGGTCAGGGTGCAAAAACATCGGGGATTTGCAATATGTCTCAATTTCTGTGACACCCCTCACGCAAATCAGCGGGGTCAGGGTCCAAAAACACATGGGTTGCTACATTTCTAAAATTCGGTGGCACCCCTCAAGCAGATCGGCGGGATCAGGGTCTAAAAACACATGGGATTTGCTACATTTCTGACATTCGGTGGCACCCCTCACGCAGATCGGCGGGGTCATGGTCCGAAAACCCAAGGGATTCTCAACAACTCTGACATTTGCTAGCACCCCTCACGCAGATCGGCGGGGTCAGGGTCCAAAAACACATGGGATTTGTCATATTTCAAACATTTGGTGGCACCCCTCACGCAGATCCGTACAAAAACACATGGGATTTGCTACATTTCTGACAAATTCGGCGGCACCCCTCATGCAGATCCGTAGAGTCAGAGTCGAAAAACAAACAGGTCCCGACACTGCTTCACGGCGGCGCCCAGACATCATGATTTAGCTTTTGCATCTCCCATTCTCCGAGACAGGAGGCCCGCAGCATGGGGCGAAGCCCTTACGGATAAATTGACACAAATAAGGGGATTCGCCATATTTTTATTTTTTTATCGGTTTTTGTCTTCCCCCACACTTCCGTATTTTCCAACATTCCTGGGGAATCGACGATTCATTGTGTCTGTGTTTTTTCCCTTCATGAGCTTGGAGTTCGCCGGGGCTCGCTCCGTCGGGGGCTCGGCTCGCCCAGCTCGAGGGAAGCCCAGCACGGTGATCGCCGAAGCTGGGTTCGCCGGGGCTCGGTTCGCCCGTCTCGTTTCGAAGACGGGGCCAAAGATCCAACGCATTGAAAACGACGTAAATGTTTCGTATTTTTCGGCCTCGAGGGGCCCTCGCCGGGCCCCGGGACCGTCAAAAACGACTCAGGATGAAAAACCGGTCCTGGGGAATGGGCCCATATTTCCGGGGACCCCGGATAAAAAACTCACGACATCGGATCTTTGGGGAAGTAGGACAAGGAAGACGAGCCCCCCCCTCTATCCCCATCGCTGTTTCGAACGCGCGAAAACATGGATTAATGATACAGACGTCAGCGACGCATCGGATGCATCGGTGCGGTCTGCGAGAAAACGCTACCGATGCATCGGCGATGCGGTTCGGTCCTCCTCGACCCCTCCATTCGGACTTCATCTGGGAGGTCCACATGCATCCAGATTTACGTTTTCCAGTCTTGCCCTGCCCTCCCCTAAGACGACACCAAGGCGAAGATAAACTCGGATAGAGATAAACCAACAATATCTGAGATCCGGCACTTCTAGAGGATATGCCCAGTGCCGCGGCCTTCTCGGAGCGTTCCGGGACGCTCTGATAGCCTTCCGGAACGCTCTGAAACGGATTTCTCATCGATCGTCCTAGCTACAGGCCTACTAGATCGGGTCGGAGTATATGGGGTGGAGGGATCGCTCCGCATCGTCGATACGTCGGCGATGGATCGGCGATGCGCCGCCAATGCATCGTCGACGTCGGCGATGCATCGGCGGCGTCGACGTGGAGAAACCCGGGCTGCGCATCGAAACGCATCGTCGATGCGTCAACGATGCGGCGCGATCCTCCGACCCCATCTTCCCCGACCTCACCTGGGAGGCCTAGACGTCTCTGAGCGTTCCAGAACACTCAGAAAGCGTTCGGGGACGCTTTGGGCCGGATTTATCGTATAGGAGGGGGAGTGGGACAGGGAGTAGGAGGAAAAAGGACCAGGACCGCT